TATTACTAATTTAACTTTGTATTACTGAGCTAAATTTAATGTCGATCATGGGGTTGTTTGACTACGGAGGAAGATTTTACCATGTGACTTACTTATCTGATTCATCAGATCAGCTTGCCGTAACAATATGAATCAATTTAAATCTTTACATTGGATAATATAAAAAATATCTTTTTGGAGAAAGTGCACGTCATGTATTAGTATTAAATATATTATATAGGTCCGATCTTTATCTTTTGAGAAAGTGCACTACATAATAATAAGCGTAAATGAATAAATCTCATACAATTATTGTATTAATATACTGAATCATGTCAATTTCGGATGCTTCACATTTAATATTTTGTAATTGCTTTCTACACTTTCCCTATCCTCATGATCTAACTTACATAACGACTCAGCAGTAATTCCATAATAATCGATATCTTCATTGCTATATTCATAATATAAATTGAAATACTGCTCCATTGTTTTGTTATAGTTACGAAAACCTACATGGCTATAAGCTGGATTATTTTGTTTTTCAGGTAAAGTCCTTTTTGGGAAAGTTTTCTTTTCAGTTTAGGCGTAGATCTCACAATTACCTTGGTTTTTGAATTGACAAAAACAGGAGATATACTTACCTTAGTGTCTGATATATTGTTTGAATTAGATGAATCTAACATATGCGCGTGACATCAGCCGATTTTGCTATTTACTATAGAAATATTTGATTGGTCAAAATTCACTCCCATGTATTTTGGATCGGGTGATGAGTTGGTGAAACTTATGTATTCTGCGACGCTTTTGTATAACTTAGATTTCGAACACCAGCTTGATCACTTGATCGTAAATAGTGATAATTCGCGAGCAGACGTCTGGAAGAGAAATTGAGTATTAGAGTGGTGAATTTGAATAGTGATATAAAATTCATTCATATTATCGAAAAAAAAAACATATTATCGATATAAAATTTATTATATAATCCCAGGCGGAAAAAAGTAAGTTGGCTGCTGAGGGTAAAACTAAAGTGGAACGCTTCCCTGGGGGTGGTTTCATCTCTTGTAATAAAATATTAATATCCGTTATTGAGTATTGGATATGTTGATTATAGTCAAGAAATCCAACACACTTTTCCAACACTTTTAACGTTGCACAGAATATTCCCATATATAGAGTGGTCATCATGATTATGACCAACAAAAATTCCGGACGTGTTATAATGACTTGTACCAGGTACTAGACTTCAAAAAAAGGAAAAGAAACCGTACAAGATGTTTATTAAACGCATTGATCGTAAGGATCTTCATTACTCATGTATAGCATTATTAATATGTATAGCTAGTCGTTTTTTATGAATCATTAGAATCAAACATCAACTGTGATAATTACATACATATTAGGCTGAACGCTTTTGTAATTGTATGCAATAGACGTATAGTTCTAACGCAAATATGCATTTGTAGACGAAATTTTCATCATCACTAACTAGGATTTTTTTTTTTTTTGAGGAGAGGGTTTTAACAATGGCTTACCAGCCTGACAACTTGCCACCGACTTTATATAACTGATTAATAATACAGTATTATTAGCACTTATACTATTAGTCGGACAGTCGGGCGCACAAGCAACTTTTGTCTGACAATATCCTTTTTCTATAAATGCTAAACCCTCTTTATTTTTTCGTACATTGATCTACTGTTGATTTAGGAAATTGCGCTAACCTCATTTCCAAATTTGCTGACTGCAAACTCCGGCCATTTTTATATATTGCTATGCTATAACTATGCCTATATCAAGATGTAGATCTAGCTCTGGATCTAGGATCGAGATCGATCTAGCACTGGCGCCGGCTCATTTTTTCGCCTCCATGCTGTATTCTTTTTTATAAAAAAAATTCTGTGTACCGTTGCACAAATACTTTTGCATATGTTTGCCATATTGACAGTGCTGTTATTACGGAAAGTTTCTTCGCACTCAAAACAACAAAATGTATGATTATGATTGTAATTGTCTGCTACCATCTATGTCCTATAGACAGATTTAATAATAAAGTTCACTATAATATATAAGATTTATAGGAGATTCGTTTCTTGATAATTTGGTTCACTATAGATAGCGTCAACTGTAATCGGTTTATTCAATCCTCACTATATCACTATTAACAATTCGTGGCTTATGAATTATTATTCGAGTGCTTGTTCTCTCTCAAAAATTTTACTTTGACATAATATTAGATTCTCACACTCACTGTAAATTATAAAAAAAAAATTTTATATGTTTGATAAAGATTATCACTTGGAGAAAAAATTGTCCTCTTTTGCAAATACTGCTCTTTGACTAGCTCAAATTTTATTTTAATATTTTTTTTTGCAACTTTTGTTGTAGCTTTTAGCGCATCGATGGGTTCCGCTGTTGCTTGTTTCATTAATTTAAAAAGGCGTTCCCATATTTTCACGCGTAAGACAAACGCTCAACCGCAGCTGTCATCAAGTTGATTATTAGAGACTTTGGTTACCGTCTCCGCGAATAATCTGGCGTAAGTTCTCAATTGCTCGGTGGTCTAAGAAATTATATTTGTAGTTAGACGCTGTCCTAATAACGCAAAACTTATTGTTACAAAAGCTTACCATAAGGGCAAAGTCTTGCTTTCCAATGCCCTTACTAACCGTGCTTGTATTTTCAAGTTCAGCATCAGATTTTCGCGACTTTGGGAGTGTTTTGGATGTAAAAATTTGTAAGACGTACGTATGCTCTCATATTTCAGTTGATATTGTAACGTTAACTGACACATAAAAAATGGTTTTTACTGTTGAACATTTTGAACGGCCTTTTTTGCCTGCTTTTTTTGATAGTCATGATGTTGATTTAACTATTACAATAGTGTGGAGAGCTATTGCTGCTTATATGCAATTAGCTCATGTTGCGCAGCGATCAGTAGTGTTGTATGTCCATTTGGAATTTATGTCCATTCGGAATAGACATATGTCCATTCGGAATGGACATATGTCAGATGGG